ATTTCCATGAACATTAAAAGCAAACCCCTCTCTAAAGTGTTTTTCTTTCACAAGCAAGCAAGAAAATACATTGGATAAAACAAACTTTGCTTATTTAAGTTTCGACTCAATTACCTGTTAATGGAAAAAATCTGGCACCACTAATAATGAGGCAGGAATGAGATCACTGTTCTGGAGGCCTGGCTTGTCAGGGAAGCTTGCAACAAGAAGTGCATTTATCTGCCTTTCTATAACCCTTTTCAAGCACTCTGTCAGGGAGCCCAAACTGAACAGCCAGTTTAGGAGGAACTTGGAACCCGCTCCAGGCCCCCTTGGCCCTCTGGGAAAAGGAAAATTATTGTTGGCAAGTCTGCCTGGCTCCAGAAGTTGATCCAGTGCCCCCCACTTGCCCATGCAGCAGCAGACAGAGCTAAGAATTTTGTTATAATTAAATAACGGAGTGCTGATTGGTTGCTGGAGGTGGTCTTGAAACTGGTGTTTAAGGCAGTGGAGAACAACGGTTACTATTCATAGAAAAAGCAGAGTCTTAAAATCCATCTGTTTCGTTCCAAATTTAGGCCAAAAAAATGCTCACTCACTGTCTTTAAAAATACCACCTGCTTAGCTATTTTGTATAATGTGCCATTATGTAAGTTTGAAGGAGGAGCAGGCAGGGAGGCAGCGGGGGCTGAGAAGGGGCGGGGGGAACAGATTAAAAAGATACAGTTAGATCCAAAAATACCCCAGCAGCATATTCTAAAGGGAACACAAAATAAGGGAGCAAAGGAGACATATTCCAAGGAAGATTAAAACCAGGGTGTTTGCTAATGCCTGGGAACCAGCTACTACAAATGGGCTTGTTTGCAAATAAGATTTTTTTTTCTCCTTTTTTTTTTTTTTTTTTGGAAAGAACCCACCCTCCTTGCTACGCACACCCAACTCCGGTCCCCACCATGCTCCAGGGCTGTGGAAACACCCCAAGCCTTTCGCACCCTGCAGACCTTTCCTGGGGGGGGGCCAGGCCAGGGCATCCCAGCCTGCCCGGCCAGAGCCCCTGCCAGCAGGTACCTCCCAAACGGGGCTGTGCTGCTCCTTGGGGAGCTGGTGCAAGCAACTAAGTCGAAGGACCGAGACAAGGGGCTAGGAACACCACGGTGTGTACTTTTCCAGAGCAGCTTTGCTCTGCGAGCAACAACATTAGCAAGGCCTGGTGTCCTGCAGATGTGTCTCCCATCTCCGCATCGTCCTTCCCCTCCCCTCGCTTCCCCGCTGCAATCTTACATAATATTACATATTGCAGCTGCAATATTTCCAGTTTTCCCTATACGCTTAGCTCTCTCCCACGTCCCTTGTTCCCTCCAACTCCCCAATGCTCTCCATGTCTCCTACCTAATCTCCTTGGCCTGCCAGCTGGGCAGGAGAGTGCAGATGCTGGTCCAGAAGTAGACGTGTGATAATTGGCCATCTGGACGCTGCCAGAGAGAATGGATAACAGCTGAGCTCTCCCTGCCTTTTCTTCAGCAGCAGATCTGGAAAGCCTCTCTTCTCGGTGCCGGCAGAGATTTCCCTGGAACTCAGAGGGACTTTATCATCTCCGAGAGTTTGACTGCCGCTGTCAAATCTGGTTAAAAAATGCCAGAGGATTCAAGAATTATCAGGAGCGGGTCAAACAGATGGACAGACAGCATGACTTCATGATCTCCACTGCCGTAGAGGTCCGGGCTAACACCTCCCCACCCCAAATTAAATGCATTTCCAACCTCAGAAAAAGAGCAACTCCTAGAACATGGATGCAAGTCATAAGTGAATATTTTGGATCGATCCCTGCAGAAAATCAGTCCAGCGTTTGGCAGACTCCTGTCCTCAGAGAGTCCTTAAAACAGGCTGGTGACATTATTGACAATGATGGGTGGTTGGGACGCATCCACTTGTAGCTGATCTGCCTTAAAAGTCTCAAGATGTTTTCCAAGAACATCTTAAAAAGAATGCCAAAGTACCTGTCTACCCTTTTTTAATAATATAGCAATTGCTACACTCTCTGAGCAAATTTGCATATTCATAGTTTTAAGGCTCGAAGAGCTTTAGCCTTCCTGTCCAGCAAAGACCACTGAAGCTCAGTGTTGGTCCTGTACTGAATTTAGTCTTCAGCTGGAGCATCTAGCAGCCCAAAACAGCATCTGAAATCTTTATTCAGAGTCTCAGGTGGTAAAACACTCCTATGTGTATGCCAGACATACCTGGGCAGCACTGTCACACACGTTCATATTTATTATTATTGTTTGCTGTCATGATTGTTGCAATGGCCCATGCAACTATTTTACTGTGAATTTTCTTTACATCTTTGTATGGTCTAGTGAAGTGAACGGGACTCTAAAGATTGCTCTTTTTTCCTGCCTTTCTCTTCCTTTTTTTTCTTTTAAGCAAAGCTTAAAACCATGTGGCACTGCTTTATTGAGTCAGCAATTGCTGAAACTTTTTAAAATTCCACACACTAAGTGAAAAATGAGATTTACAAAACTAATGGAAAATAAATGTCTCCCGAACATGCAATACATTGACTGGCTTCCTTGCCTTATCCCGTAAAAACAGATGGAAGCAATAGCTACAGTGAATTACCTACTGCACGTAGGGCCCCATGCCGTCCCGTGGCAGCCCCGTACAAGGACCGAGCGTGCCAGTTTGTCACCGCCCCGTGCCGGGGGCTGCGTGGCTCTGGGGGTGAAGGGGGTGATCAGACCATACCCCTGCAGCCAGTTGCTCACCCTGTTTTACACCTGCAGTGTACGGGAAGGGCTGTCCTCCCACCAGGTTTCCAGTGTACCTGGTCTGATGGGGTCCTTGGTTGTGACTCCTGGGCACAAAGGGAGTATAAATAATGGTAATTTTCTCCCAGGAGCCTTGACCCAGCTCAGGTCCTCTAAGCAAGGGAAATTTGGAGGCAAATCTGAAGGCGTAAGCTTATGGGCTTATGCCTTCAAGGGACACGGCCAATGCACAACCTAGAGGAAACCCAGGTGGTTGCTTTCTCAGGAATATACAGTTGTTTTCCACAGCAAACAAGAGTTCCCAGCACGAGTTATCCACCACTCACAAGCTCTGCTCAACGTATCGTTCGAACACATGCCTCTCTCACCGCACACACAGAAGGAAAACCAATTTGTCCAGGAACAGTGGTTTTGGACTCCGCTTTCCAAAGGCTTGCTAATAAAGCAGCGAGCAAAGAACACACTGTTTTGCTGAATATAGGAATCATACCTTGATGGTGTCCCCTTTGAATCATGGCATTCAAAGATCTCCCTGGAGCACTATATTTTTACATTAGAGGAGAGCAGTTATCCCCAGCAGAGATGCAGCACATGTGTCTGGCTGATGGATGGCCATGCTCTAGCAAGAGTCAAAACGTTTAGGAGAAAGAAAAAAAAACCCACAAAAAAACACCAAACCTCCCTAGGAACCTGATATAGCAGGAGAGTAATTTGAGCATCGCACTCAATTTGCTGGCTACCAACGGCAAGATTTGGCATCTTCTGCAAAGGCTTTGCAGAAACATCCTTCTCGCCGTCGCAGAGTCCCGTCCCACCCGTGCTGCCCACACTCCTGTCGCGAGTGACGAGGGGACATGTCCCACTGAAGTCAAGGGGAGTGCCGTGTTAGACCACAACAGAAACAGCATCAGGCCTTGGATCAAGGGACATAAATGGAGCCTGGTAAAAAATTCACCGTGACTCAATCCTTCGAGAGGAAATATGAAGCCATACTTGCATGTACTACCCTTTATTAACACATTTGAAACAAAGAAAGGCTTCTGACTTGTAAACTAGTCATTAAAAAAAAAGTGGTAGCAATTTAAAGCACTGTATGTTCTGTTTAAACATTATTTAGTACTTCACCTAGTACCTCCCAGCCCCTCTACAAAGCAAGTTCCTCCTGCAGCCAACAGACAACCGCTTTGCAGCCAGTTTTGGTTTTATCGGACCCCACGGTGAGGGACAGCACGGTCTCAGCACCGAGGCTGGGCTTCCCAAAATGGCCTGGTTTCCAGGTCTCTGCAGAAAATCCCTTCACTGGTTCTCCCATAGGAGGAAGAATACTTACCCTTCCCGCAGAGTCCGTCAAGACCGACTAAAGAGAAGTGCATCACCTGAGCAATACACTGGCACGACAGCAGGGAACAAGCCTGCTCCGAGACCTTTGCATTCAATTGTCTCGAGTGCCATTGCAGAAATTACTACGGCTCAGATTTTCCAAGACTGGGGCTACGGTGGCATCCACTTGTGAGAGATTCCTAGAAATTACAAAGCTTAAATCCCTACTTAGTTTCAAAAAACCCAAACAAATCAACCATTTAATAAAAATTCTTGCATGTAAGTTCACTCTCATCCTGCAGCATCTGCAGGCATTGCTGCATCGGGTGGATGCTTGATGCTCAGTGCTGAGAGCAAGCTGTGCTGCAAAGGCCCACTGCATTAAAAAAAAAAAAAAGCAAAAAAAAAGCAAAACCAGACTCAAATCCATCCAGGAGATAAACCCTAAGGCCAGCACAAGAACTCTGACTAATTAGGGCTACCTAAGCTCTCCTGTGTGACCTTTATAGTGCATCAGCCCTGTGTTGTGGGATCACCAGGTTGAAAAAAAAATGTTTTAAAATTAAAGGTATCATCAGCCCTGGTCTTCCATCCCCCAGTCAGGATCACTTCACACAGAGGGATGACATTACTTTAGCTCACGTGTTATTTGTCTTTGCCAAATCACGTGCCATTTGCTTTAAATAAAAAGGACTTTCAACCACTGCTACTCCTGCAGAAGCTTGCTGAGCGCGGAGAGGGCTAGCGCAAAACGAATTTAGCAGGCGGTAGCATTGGAACCCAAAGGAAACAGGATTTCTCACAACTAGAGCTGGCTGCAATTTGTCACGATATTCACAAGTTTTCTGAAGGAAGTTTTCCACTCGGGCTGCAAATCTTCCTGGCCAGAGTAAAATGCAGTCAACGCATAAATGAGTTGACAAGTCATTCTCTGCACATACTAAGTTGCTTTTATTAATCCAGAACTGCATGCTACAGATACTGTACAGCATGAACATTTATTCATTACAAAAAATGGCTTCCAAACCATTAAAAATGAAAATCGGAATAAGAGCATAAAACGGAACAGTAACATCACAACTGTTAGGAAACATTCAAAGTATTCACAAAAAATGTTATAGTTAGCATCTTAATAAACCAGAGAAAAATCTGAGACAGTTTTACAATCGCTTCATGTCAACTACAATGGCACTGAATGAACAGATGAACAATTTTTCAGCTTTATACAGCGTTTTTTGCAACATCAACATGCCTAGGTTTTTTTTTTTTGTTTTAAGTTTGCTACCTACCTGTATGTAGTAAGTGTACATAAAAGTGGCAGTCTGATTTTCCTTTTATGAATAATCTAATATACAGAATTTGGCCCTTAAGGGTTTATACCTCTTCATTTTAAATGCTTTCCGGACAATCTGCTACCAAACACGTCTGTTATAGGTGACATTAAAACTACATACATATCTACCTATGTAACATCACAGCAAAACATGATGAACAAAAAAATTACAGCATTAAAAAAAAATAATAAAGTTGTCGGGAGAAAGTTAAAAGTCACTGAGAATTTTGGCACATAAAAATTTTGCACACAGCCTACAGTCCTAATGTCGCAGGGGATTCAGCTGCAGTTCTGAATGGGAGACACTTGGACCTTGCTATTTTTCAAACAGCGTTGCTAAAAATTCCCTTGCTAAATTTTCAAGTCTTTTTGTGTGTAATGGCTTTTAAAGCAATTTTTTTTTTTTACACTATTGATCCTTGAAAAAAATGCATCTGCGAATGTCCATTTGGTGGCAACTGTGTTTCATATAGCAAAAAAAAAAAAAAAAAAAAAAAAAAAAAAAAATCACGAAAAGAAATCAAAAACAAAAATCCCGGAAAAAATATATATATACACATTTATATATAAACTTAAAAACCTTGTACAAATGAGTTGTTATATATAAGATGCTTACACTAAGGGAAAAAAAAAACCTTTATACAATGTTTCAAGAAAAAAAGAAGAAAAAAACATTTAAAAAGGGACAACATACAGATACAACAAGCAATTTCTAAAGCAATAAATACTACTGGTCCAATAGCGTTGTGATACTTTTAATTGTTGAGTAGCGTTCCCTCCCCCAAAAAGAACAACACCATGGAACAAGGTATATTAACACATTTTTTTAACCCTTTGTTTCTGTACATTTAAACAATAACAAGTAACATCACAATAAAGGTTGTTTCACACGAGGAAGAAAAAAAAAAGAAGTAGTAGCGGCACGGCATTCGTTGTGCCCTTAAAGGTTTAAAAACCAGATGTAAAATGATTGGTTCGCAAGCTCGTATTTAATACAAATAATAAAGAACCAATGCCTCCGGCAAGGGCTGCTTCAAAATTGCTTCTTTTTTTTTTTTTTAATTTTTAAAATCAGTCTTTAAAACTAAGCTATTGGAACTACATAACAATTATGTATATATATATATTTTTTAAACGCTACAAAGACTTTAAACAGCTGTTGATAAAAATTTTGGCAGAATCATGAGGCTTTTCTCATCTACATATTTAAAAAGGAGAAATTGAAATAAGAATGGGTCAAATATTGACCAATGAACTCGATAAAACATCAACTAATGTAGCCACATGGCACGAATTAAAAACGAAACTGAGAAACGACGACGAACAGCGGACGACGACGAGGAGGAGAAGGAAAAAAAAAAAAAAAAAAAAAAAAAAAACCAAACCAGAAAAGGAAAAAAAAAACCAACCCCAAACCCAAACCCCAAATCCCAACAGAATCCAATCCCCCCGAAGGAAACGGAAAGGGCTAACGAGGCTAAAGCTATTCTAAGGACTTGGTTACGAGGGAGAGCGGCTGGGGCTGTGTCCCCGCCAGCGAGCTGTGGGAATGCAAGGAGGACGTCGAGGGCTGTGCTAGGGATGCGGCGGCGGCGGCGGCCGGCGGGTGGTCCAGGGCCCCGTTGGGGCAGCTGGCGGCAGGCAGGGCGCCGGGCTTGCTCGCAGCGCTCTCGGCGAGGACGAGCGAGGATGGCGGCGGCATCATGACCAGGTGCGCCAGCGGGTCGGGCTTCAATGAGAGCGAGAGGGGTTGCGTTTGTTCAGTCTGTGGTTTCGAGTCTCTGGAGGGGGAGGCGAGCATGGCGGGGGAGGACGGAGGAGAGTCTAGTAAGCTTCCATCTGAAGAGGGTGGGCTGACGCAGCTGCCTTCACCTTGTATGTAGCGAACGCACTTTTTTTTTCTCCTAGAAACAGGGAGAGAGGCATCTGTGAATAAAGGGCAGAGACGCCGGCGGAGACAGTCATCTACAGCAAAGAGCCGCCCGTTAGCTACTCTGGGCTCTGCGCGGGCGGCACCCCGGCCCCACGCGCCGTCCTGGGGGTCTGGCGGGGTGTCCTCGGCACCGAGCCCGCTTGGGAACCTCCCCTCGGCTAACGGACTTGGACGGGATTCACCAACTGTCTCTTCGTTCCCCCTCCTCTTCAGGCCGCCTCCTTTCCTTAGTCATTTTAATAATCAGAAAATCAGGCAAGGTGCTTTTGGAGCCCACTGTGCTAACCTACAAACTCGGCTTTCCTCCGGGAAAAATAAAATAAAACAAACAAAAAAATTTAATCCTTAGAAAAGAAAAGCTCTGGATAGTTGACGGTATCTCAAGATGTCCCATAACGCTGTCCAACTCAACAGGGCTATCTCTACACCTGCATCACCTGTCGCCTCTTATGATGCGCTGCCCTTGGGAGGCAAGGACAGCTGCAAGCTACTGCTCATTGCCTTCTCCTCTGTTAAGAACCACACCAAATCCAGAAATGTCAGAGTCAGACAGGAGGGATATATAATAGAGAGAACGAGAGAGAGGGGAAATAAAAACAAAACGAACAAACAAAGCAACAGAAGAAAAAACAGGAAAAGAACAGGATAAACAGAGTATGATCCAAAATAACAAGAATAACTGGTTGTATGGCCTGCAGGTTGTGGCTTTAAACCGACTCAGTTTTACTCCTTGTTTTAAGGGAGAGTGGTAGATTTGGGAAGCTGCTCGTCTCCGTTTTGGAGAATTTTCCTCTGAGAGGCCATCCATGTAACTCCAGAGTGGGATCCAATTTCAGTAGGTGAAGAGCACGGTGACAGGTACAAAGGTGAGGAGCAACATGGAGCTTATTTCACACCAGGGAGTATGAGAGTCTCGCAAGAGCCGCTCATCTTCAAATAAATAAGTGACCCGACAGAGATCTTTTCTCCTCCCTCTGTCCACTTAACAATGTAAAGGAGCAATGAAAACAGATGACAGTTTCACACCATCTCTCTTGCCAAGTATATGCAAGACAATTCTAGCAGCAGGACAGAAATAATGAGGCAAACAACCACAGCATCTGGCAGAACGACGTTCAGTGGCCACCTTGACCCTAACAATGACGGCTCTCCAGCCCTCCTAGTCACAAGCACGCTTTCCGTGGGAAGTGCTGAACCACCGTCACACAGCCCGAGGTATATGACAAAGTCTGTCTAGAGCAGCTCTGCCACAAAAACTTTGGACGCTCGGCTAAGCTGCACGAAGCCACCGACGTGAAGGAGTCGGTTGCTCTCCCCCTCCCGTGGACACCTTGCTCTAGCTCAGCAACGCCATCAGAGGAAGCGCCCAAGCGTGGCACAGCGGCCCGACGTCGCTGGGTGACATTCCCCACTCGTGCAGGCGTACCAGCTCCACCGCTGGTCGTCAGTGCTCTCCCCTGCGTGTGGCGACTGCGCCTGACTTGGGTTAAACCAAGGTCCGCTGCCTAGGCAATGGGGCTAGATGTTTCTCGACTGCGAGGGAGATCTAATCGGCTTGATCCTGGAGTTAAAAGGTATCATCTCCCATAGCCAGGAAGGGAAGAGCAACCCCGGCACCCCGTCTTTCCACCAGCTCTGGTGAGGGACCAGTGCCGTGACATCCCTTCCTCCAGAGACTCAGGCTCTGCTCTCAGGTTCTGCTCCACATTCCACATGGCAAGGTAAGGGGTTAGGGCTATGAAGAGTTTTAACCACGTTAGCCTGCAGATCGATACATGCTAAAAACTAAAGACGACCATGCAACTTAAATGTTAAAAAGAAAGAAAGAAAGAAAGAAAGATAGAAGACAGCAAGTGAAGGCTGTAAACCATGCTTTATTAGAGCAACGTTAAAAGACAGAAAAAAAATTAATTTGGTGGGTTCAAAACAGAACCTGTTAATTCTTCTACCACCAACGAACAACACGGGAAGCCTCTGGCTCTCGGCTAAGGACAGGTCTGCTGCTCTTCCTCCCCTCCCCTCTCCTCTGCCTCACCACTTCCTTAGCTTCAGCTATGCAACCCTACCAGGGCCACAGTTCATGTTTGGACCTTCTGTACAGCTCCTGTGGCAAAGCAGAACAGTGATGCTTCACAAAGCTCACCGATAATACCTGTGTGGAAAGGTGGGTTCTCAGTCTGGAGACTGCGGGGCTCCCCCCCGTACCCACATTAAAATAATTCGCAAGCAGAATTGCAGACCCAAGCTCTGCCTGCCTCATTGATGGTGGTCCAGAAGCCATTCGACTGGATTGCTCTGAATCTACAAGGCAGTTAATTATTTCACTGGAGGCAGTTTGAATCTAGTATGCCAAAAATTCAGAATATTTTTTTTAATACTATTTAAGTTCTGTGGCCTGAAAGGAAGAGACCCCATGGCAAAGCAGACTTAAACCAGGTCTACCTGACTGTCTGACTCAGAAGAGTTAACAACTTTTTTAAAACTAAACCCACTGGTCTGCTACCTGAAGTAATTTGCCTTTGACTAGGATTAAGGGAGAGCAGATTGCTTCCTCTGCTTCTGTTGTATATTAAACTCTTGAATAGTGTGGCCACTTTTAGTCTGAAAAGCCATTTACTTAACCCATGATGGTTAAAGGCGGGGACGTTTCTCCAGCCTGTGCCATTCCCACCATGTGTTATCTGTGGTCATGTACGTCTCAGGGTTAGGTGGGACAGAAGGCATAGATGGTAAAAACCCAAAGCCTGCAAGCCAGATTTTACCAGAAGGGAACACCACCAGGCAACTTTGGTGAAGGGGAATAAGTAAACATCCAAGGAACTCTTTGTGCCTCAGTTTTCCTCTCCTAAAATTGGGAACAAAACCCCTACCTATCCCCTCTCAGAAGCACTAGTGAGGATTATCCACTTGTGCGTTGCTCTGAAAGCATCAACTGCTACATCAGTCCAGCAAACACCAACAGACCTGACCCTGCTCGTGCTGCCCTTGAAGCTAGCCCCAGGACAGCATCGGGAAACCTGTAATGCTGCGATTGCCATGAGTGAAAGCCACAGAGGATGACATGGGTTTATTCAGTTGCTGCGAGCAAAGATGTCTCAGTTTCTATCGTAGTAGCAAACTGCACATCTTTAGCACCTACCTAAGATGCGCTACAAAATGCTACCATGCTAGCAAATGCAATGTTGTAATGGTTAGGACCAGAACTAGGAGAGAAGTGCTCTAATACCTAGTGATAAAATGCCTCCATGCATTTAAAAAAAAAACAACAAAAAAAACCAACACAAAAAAAGCCCCAAAAGAAAAGCAGCTGACTCTACATCCGTAAGTCTAAAGCTATCAGCTACACCACTGAAGTTGTCTCTGATGTGCTGCAAAGATTTCTGACCAAAATCTGGCGTAAGTTAAGAGAGGGTTTATGCTTCACATGTAACCTAAGCACTGTACAGACCGAATGCTGATAAAATGTAGTTTTAAAAGTATGCTGTTTACTTAAGCAGCTAGGGAAAGATAAAGCAACACAAACATGATGTGCCCCCGGTTCTTGTACTTGGCATACAGAGCCTGACATGCTTCAAATACTCTATCTCTAGACTACACAAATATCTGCTGATAGTGTGTAGTGAACTAAGCACAGAATAAAGCCCAACTAAACACAGCATTCAAGTCTTTGGCTAGCATGAGACTCCGGCCTCCTGACACAGTGAAGTAGCTACCCAGCTCTTCTGGACTGAACCTTTCTTCTTTAAGCTCTAAGGAACTGCTGCTTTCAAAGCTTGTTTAACATACGAACTGGTGCTGGTACCTAACACCCCACACCCGGTACTAGCATGCCTCAAATGGGACAATATGCAATCTGTTGAAGACGTTTCTGGTGCCTTCTCTGGTATTTTGACATACACCACCACCCTCGATCTGTGTTCTCCTCGACACTAAGCACAAACAAGACTGCGTGCATACACAAAATACGATGGACGTCTGATCTACATTCTAAATGAGATGGAGCACATGGGACTGGCATGAGTAAGAGGGGAAAATGTGGGAGAGGAATCACTACACACAGAGTGTGGTTTGGGTTGAAATACCTACCATCATAATATTCCAAATTCAAAGACTGCTTGTATCAGAACAAAGAAACAACAAATTTAACCAAATGCGATTATATAAGGAAAAAGGAATGAGAAAAGAACTACTCGGTATCCCTCCACCAAGAAAGAAGTACGTACTGAGTTATACATGGAATTAAACTCCAGTAGAACATGGGCTGTCGAAATTTGGGCTCTCTGATGTCTTTCATCTCCTTTTAATGCTGGAAACTGTCCTACTAAAGTTGTAATTAGTTTTGTCTAGAGCTCAGGCGTTTACAGCTCACTTGCTGGGATAAAATTTAGGAAAAAAATGTATTTTTGGAATCAGAAAAAAAAAAAAGACATCAGGTAATTTAAAAAACTGGTATCTACATAAAACTTACCAAGGCGTAGAAGCCTACAGGTAGCTGTTTAATTTTGCAGAGAACACCAAAAAAATGGTACAATATAAGCTGTAAACACTGGCTTTTACATCTCTAATCATGAGAAAAACACTAGTGCTGCAGATCCCAGAACCTTTTTAAAAAGCCTTTGGAGGCAGTGGACATAGACCCAAATGAAAGACAAAATATAGACGTCCAGCTAAACAATCATTTTGCTGACAATCTGGAAAAAAATAAAAAAAGCCAAAAAACCTGCCAGCTTTAAGGACTTCGAGTTTTCTTGTTCCCAGTTCTACCACCAGGGAGAGGTTATTGGTAAGGAAAGAGAGAAAATGGCATTAAATTAGCAAGAAATTCCAAAGATCAAAGATTATTAGCAATTGATGCTGTGGGAGAGAGAAAGGTGGGGAGTGGGGAAAAAAGATTAAAAAAATAAAATCACACAAATGCACTAAGAGGACAGATTGCTTTTATTTCCCCAAAGGCCTAATGGGTAGTATTATACCTGCATGGTTTGCACCATAAACTCTGTCGGTCAAGCCCGAACAATGCCCGACACTTCTTTGGAGTATTTGCATCTGTTAGCATAAGGTAAACACAAAAAATACAACACAATGGTGGATAGAGCTCATTTGGTCTGCGTCATCTTAGCTACAGCTACGTTTAGCTTTCAATCACCTCAGTTTTATTTGGTAATCTCCCCTCGTACCAAGGGCAGGAAAGAAAACAGGACTTTCACAATGAGCCAAAAGAAAACCAAAAAAAATCTCCGACACGGCCGTGCGTCTGTCCGGTGTTGGCACCGCGCTCAGTGCCGTGTTACCAAGGGCTTTGGGAATGACTTTCCTTGGGTGGAGGCTTGGAGGGCAGGAGCGTGGTTGAGCCACGGATCAGATGGGCTTAAGGCTGATGCTGTTTTACAGTGGGTTTTTGGCTAGCAGCAGCAAAGAGGAAGGCAAAAAAACAACCAACAACAACAACAACAACAACAAAAAAAAAGCAAAACCCTTTCAGAGAGACAATAACTCATGGCAGTGTCCCACTCCCTTGTGTCTTCTAGATCACAACACAGAGCTACAAAGCAACAAGGCAGGAAAAAAAAGGGGAAAGTACCAAATAAACCAGCTGCAAATCAGCCATAGCGAGTCTGGGAAAACTATACACACCTGCAGGGGCCGCACCAGTTATTCTGTTGATCAAGGCCAAAGCGCGCTCGGCATTTCTTAGGAGCGCTCAGGTCTGAATGAGTTCAAGAAAAGCGAGCAGAAAAGGGAGAGAGGAAAAAAAGAAAAGGGGAGAGGGGGGGAGAGAGAGAGAGGAAGAGAGAAAAGGGGAGAAAAAAGAGAAAGATAAAAATAAGGAAAAAATAAAAATAAAAAAGGGAATAAAAATCAATGTCCTCGTTATTAATTGCAAAATATTGACTTTTGATTTAAAAGTTAAAAAAAAGTGATAATCACATTTTTATTCAACTCTTGAGATTAGCTGTTGCAATTAAAGCTGCAGTATCCCTTTATAAAGGACTGTTTCTTTCCCTTCTAAAAGAGCAGGTAGAGGAAAGTCATTGTGGCTGGTCTAGCAGGATGTTTCAGGCAGGATTTATTTGGGCTGGGTTTTTTTATTCTCTTTTTTTTGAGAGGGGGGAAAAAGGAAGAAAAGAAGCTGAGTATGGAAGTTAGATCCTGAACATGCTTTTTTCTTCAACTCAGATACAAAATAAAGAGAAAAAAAAGAAAAAAAAGAAAAAAAAAAGGAAATTATATCTCCTGGGATAATGCAGCTTTTGGAATAACATTCAATTTATTTGTTTTTATTAATTTGTATTTAAAAGAATGGATAAGAATAAGCAGATTGCGGAATGAGTATGTTAGTATCAGCCAGAAAATAAAACGTAAAGCATGGCAAGGTGCTGAGTTAGTACAGCTAGTGAATTGCAATGAATAGGCTTGAGCAGAAAGGAAAAAAAATTAAATAAAAAAATCCAAAAAGAAAATAATAATAAAAAAATGCATATGCATGCTAATGTGAGAAGACTTAGTGGGAGCCATGAAAAATGCCATTAGATTAAGGAGGTTCATTACTGACTTGCTTCCATTCTTTATCAGTCTCTTTAAAGAAATACTGCATATTCAATTTGCACAGTTAGTACAACTCTTGCGTTATTTTTACTGTATTACTGTTTTAATAGCAATTGTTACAAAAACGAAAAACAAAATTAAAAAATACTATCAAACATATAATAAAGATATATAGATAATAAATACTATCAAAACGTGTGGATGGTATTTTTCTCTTAATGTCATAAGTGTTTAATGTTAAAATCTATAATGGCAGGAAAAAAAATTAAAAAGCAGTTTATAAACTATTTTAAATGACTCAAAATGACGTTAGCACCTGTAATCGGAGGAAGTGAAAGGCAAGGATTTAGGAAACATTCGCTGTGTTCTGAAAAAAAAGAACAAATTATACAAAGGCTTCAAAAAAACTAAGTCAGGGCTTCTTCAAAATTGACTATGAGATTGCCTATGCAGTATTTCTAATTTCCTATATAGAATGGCAAACCTCCTTAATTTAAAATGGGTGCGATTTACCACTGTAAGGCATGCATCGGAACATACAGGTACAGCCCAAATTAATACCAAACACATACATACATACGTACACGCACACACATATGCGCAAAATAAGCAGACAACTTTATAAACGATGGCATAGGCATTACAACTACGGCTCTGCAGTTAAAGGCTCTGCAATTACTACGTACAAATTCAGCTAACGTCACAAGAGGCTCTTACATGCAATGGCTAGGTTACTAGTTTTAGAAGGGCAATAATGCATAAATAATTAGAGTGCATTAAAAAAAAAAGGCTGTCTAGTATAGGGACCGGCTCCCCGTCAGGCCAGGAGACTCATACCCACCTCCCCCGTACCTAGGAGCGTCACACCAGGATTGCCACATTTCCACTAAGCAAGAGATTTAGACTTATTTTTACTTACCATTGGTCTCTCCTGGCTGCTTATCCCTTTTCCTCTTCTTCTTCTTTCCCTGCAGGAAACATACACAAATGAGAAGGATTAAAAATAACCCAAAACACGTGTCCTTGCAAGACAGCACCGAGCGATGGCACGGGAAGCTCCCTGGGGAGGACACCAGAGCGTGGCACCGGCTCACCCTCAGTGCGGGGAGGCTCGGGGGGCTCCGAGGGGATGCTGCACCCTGGGGACGGCTCTGCCCGCCCGCCCCGGGACTTTTCGGACAGCCTCGCTGCAGCCCCCCCAATGCTAACACCCACCAGAGCTGTAAGCAGCTGGGGAGGGGGCAGAACAACTTGCAAGATGCTTCTTTTGAGTTAAGATTGTCATGAAGACAAAAACATTCGACACTTGTACGCTCCTGCATCTGGAAGTTTCAAACATCATTTGTGGTCACGTTTTGGCAGGGCAGGGAGGGGAAGAAGAGGGACACTGAAGCGGGGAGAGTGCATGTGTGAGGTCAGACTGAGCCCCTGGAGTTCCTCAGCGCCCAAACCCGACCGTTAAAGCAGACGAGGAAGCCACAGTAATGAGGAAATGCTAACCTGCAGGTTTATAAGTGCGCTGGCAACCTAGGAAGCAAAGCCAGGACAAGAAAAAAATCCAGATATAACTAAGACCCTTCCCACATTTTGCTCTATCACAAGGAAAATAACCAGTACTATCTTGCTAAACTGTGTCCCTTTCCCAAATACTGTCCCGCAAAACGGTGCCATTTGTTACGGTTTCTAACTGGAGGGAGAAAGGCCCTTTCTTCATTTCCCTCCAGCAGTGTGGGAGAGGACAACTGGGAGCCTGCCTTCTGTGGAAACGCAATGATCATTTTCCAAGAGAAGAGTTATAAAGTAATAAGCATAGCTCAAAAGAGAAAAGCTATTTTCTAAGAAAACTCTTCTAACACTGAGAAGACTGTGTAGGCCAGTGTAGGGGACAGAGCAATCTCATTTTCACAGCTCCCCAGATGCTAAAAGCAACGACTTTTGGGCCAGCAATGTCAACTATGAACATGAACAGCACAGGAGACGCCAGCTTTTGAAGACGCGGTAGTTAAGAGAAGTTGGTGAAAAGACACCAGACCAGCAATCCCTTGTGGTCAAGAGGGAATAAACGTGTCTTGGAAGAAGGACTCTCACAGCACTTTTGAAGGGTTGGACATACCTGTGGGGAAGCCAAGAGGTTCTCCCACATGGTGGACATCTTTCTCAGTAGGTTGGTCTGGCTCCCAGCTAAATGGTTAACATGGGCTTCAGCTTGGCACATCCACTCACTATGATATACTCCTTGGAACGTATCACTAAGAAATTCCCCCAACGTAAATATTGGATTTTTGATTTGTTGTTGTCCTATTTTTTCCTCCCCAAAAGCTGGCTTTCTGGCACAGGGCTTCTGTACTCATTCCCCCTTGCTTGCTCAGGGTTGTAAACTCCCACCCTGCTGTCCAGGCTGCAACAAGCACAGTCTTGTTTGTGAGAGCCTTCTGGTGATGGAAAAAGCTGTGTGTACCGTCCATTGTAAAGGACTGTTAAACAACGTGCACATAATCCTGTAGCTTGGATGCTGCTGAGAAATCAGCTCTGACATCTCTGAGGTCATTTTTGGGGATATCGGAAGTTGTTGCTCTGAGTCAACTGCTACAGCAGCCATCAGTCTTACATGACAGGCTGACAAGATAGACAAGCATTGCTCCTAAAGCTCCCTGAGAATAAAATAGGGAAACACTTCGTATCTTGAAGTTCATGTACCACATAAAGATACAAGAGGTTCAGACTCTGCTCCATCTATATTGATCTAGATTGACAGTAACTCTGTGAAAGTCAGTGAATTTTTTCCAGCCTTACAACAACGTAACTAAAACCAGATAATTGCCTCAGGACCATAAGCCTGATTTTTATTTAATCTCAAGGAGGCCACTTGCATAATTAACAGACTGCATCTCTGGCAAATTTGCTTAATTTCTGCAGTACGTTTGGGAATTCAAAGGCTCTTTCAGTTTGAGACCTTGTAACTTCTTCACATGAGGGCCAGCCAGAACAGAGAGGTCAGGAGTCACCTGCCCTTTACAACTCTTCAAGCCAGGTATTAAAGTACTCTAACCCCTTCAGGAAGCAATCTGTTAAAAATGGCTGATATACAGGAATGTCAGCTAGGGACCAGGAACTTCTGGTTCCTTTTCAACACAAGCTTTGAAAACTGTTCCTAACAAAGAACTGACAGAGGTTCCACTAACCTCTTTTACAAAGCAAATAGGGAGAAGAATCACCTGGCTTGCTTGTTTAATTTCTGTGCTACGAGAAGATATTTGATTACACAGCTAAATTAATACATGGACTTAAGAAAAGAATTAGGGCAGCAGTTTTTCAAGTGCTCTGCAGAAGACATTGTTTTGCCTTTGCCTCATATAGTCCTCCTAAGACTTGAGCAGATGGTCTGTAACATCTTCCATCATCGTACTATACAAATTCTTAGGCTGCAAGTAAATGTAGATGTAAATACTTGCTAACCGGTTTGTCAGCTCCCTCTACAGAGCCAAACCAACATGGATTTTGACCGGACTGCAGAGTTCTTTGGTACTAATTTTCTAGACAAGCGGCAGGCGAGGTGACTAGACCCTTACATACTCTGAGTCCAGCACTCAGCACCACTTAACATCTACTGTTAGATCTCAGGAAAAGCAAATGTGCCTTGTGACACCAACAAGCCGCGAGGGATTCCCTGAACCCTCTTCTCTTATTTAAGAGCAGGCTGAAAGCTGCGTTTCTTGAATGTACTGCTCCTGTTTCTGAAGACCTGGGCTACAGCTGGCCTCATCCTCGAGCCTGATGTGAGATGCCTAACAAATTAACCATTTCAAGCAGCCCAAAGGCACTCCCCCACTAGAAGTGTGAAGGGCTCAAGACCCTATAAAATACTGAGGGAGGAGGGGAACTCAGAGCTCTGAATGGACCAGGACAGGAGTAATAAATAAATCCTGTGGATGATGCCATCATGTGATGCAAAGGTACCGTGCTCTCCTCAGGCAGGAAGGTTCCCCCTGAAGGTCACTTGGGGGTACAGCATCAAGCTGCTGGGAAAGTGCTGGCTTTCTCATCCTGTCCTTTTTAGCTTGAGAAGAAAGGGTTTCTCAGTGCTCACACAGTGAGGACAAAAGTAAAAGGTCCTAAACACTGAAGGCTTTGTACATGCCCATCTGTCGGTGGCACAGTCACCGCGCAGAATGAGCATTCCCGAAACCTCAGTCGAGCCTATACTCCCTTTTGAACACCCAAGAAGGCGATACTGCACAGTGCCGAGGAACTACCTCAAGCCTATGGTCTGACAGTCTCAGGCCAGCCAATGCCAAAAAGAAAGGGAAAATGTGTTTAAGGAGGAGCGGCGCCTCATCAGGCTTAATGAGGTCTCCTCTGAGGAGCATGCACAGCTACACCTGCAACGGCGAACAAAGGAGGGAGCGAGGCAGAGACCAATGGAAAGACAAGATCATCAAGAAAAAACAGAAGGATTTGAAAAGATGTCCTGAAGTACATATTACTAAATAAGTTAGCATGTGTATTCTCCACCGCTGAAATGGTGGAAGAGTGTCAAGAGCTGCTGCTGCTCTAGGCTTCGCTGCAGACTCTGAACTGGCTTCTTCCCATCCCTACACGTAAAAGCGCAGATTCTCATAGAGGTAAACGTTGCCATATACAAAGCACACAGTTTATGTGATTTATGGCAAAAATAGGACATTTACGGTAAAATAGGCAGTGATGATGACTATGATGGAAGGGACACACTTCAACAAAAACAAAATGCATAACACTGTACATAACTGACATCAATCTTAGAGCTGCTGGTCCCCAAACCTGCAGGGAAGTCTGCCTGGAAGGTAGGGAGCAGGGTTTATTCCAGAGTTAGAGACCTTGCAAGTTTTAGGTGATTTTTATTTAAATTTTTTAAAAAATAATCAAAATGCTGCTATAATCCTATTAAAGAGGGTTTAGAGCTCACACCAATCCACAAATCTGACAAGAATTTATGGGTTTAGGCTTGCAAACACTTACTACCAGCTGCACTGCTTACCCTTCATGGAAGAAGGTGTTATATAGTACCAGTAAGTGGTTACAACACTGGCCTTATGTTTTTAAGACAGAAAATTCTACCACTTTTAGCTACAAAACAGGCTTTCTGAAAGGTGGAGGGGGGAAATCAATCTTAAAACCACTCCATTAATTGATCACAAACTCCAAAACACTTTTTAAAAAATGAGGCGGGGGGGTGGGGGGAGATAACATGGCCATGAAAAAGCAAAACATAATCGAAATATACAACAGTAGAGCGTGGAATAATTCATTTAACCCCACTTGAGAGTAAGACTTTCAAACAAGTCACACTTTTGGTTTTGCCAGTCCTTCTCTGAAGCTAGGATAAGTCATTCTTCCACTTTCCACTATACTCTCACACAGATAAGCACAAGACACTAATTAGTCATCTTTTTGGTGGAAAGGAGAGGAGCCATACTAGGGGAATTTTAAATTTTGTTTTAAAAAAATGTAATTTAAAATGACCAGCAAGCCAAACAGCATTTCCAGACGCTGGTAAAAGTGAAGGTAAGAGTTTCTTCACAGAGCTCTACTGTCATGCCCCAATTCTAACCTTTTACTAGTCCCAGCCAGGAAGCCTCTTCCAAGTGGAGGGCTGGGAATTATCCCCAATAGTTTTAGTATTGCAGAGGGAAGCGTCCGTTGTTGTTACCAGATTGGGATCCTGAGGCACGCTTTCCAAGTAGTGCTTGTGTGCAATGTGTGGTCGTAGTTCAGCAGGTCACATATACATTTCTACAAGCTCTACTACTAAAAAAATTTCCACCTACATAGGAACCTACATAGTTATCCCGTGCGGACCAGCCCGGGTACAGCTGCATATGAAGCTGTCGTTCCTTTCTTGCTAGTTCATAGTATTTCGCTTGCTCTTCTCTGGATAACGCGTGCCACTGAGGTGAAGAAAAGAGAAAAAGACAAAATAAAAAGCACAAGTGTGGTTTTTTTTTTTTAAGCGTGTTAACAGCAGAGTATATTATTTATATATAAATACAGCTAGAGTTGATTTTCATAAAAAAGAGATAAAACCAGATGATCTGGCATGCTGACATTCATATTTTATTTATAACTCCAGATTATAACTCCAGTTAACTCAACTGAGTCATAACTAATCATTTACGTTCACTCAGCCCCTTTGTCTCCTGATGAGAGCGGAGAATTAAGAAAACTAAACAAAAATGAAGAGCAGGGGAAAGGTTCCAGAAGCTGAACCACTTGGCCTGAGCCAGATCTCAGTTACAGGTTTAGAGAAGGTCTCCCCATCCTTTCCCCACTGGCACCCCCTCTCCTCTTCTAGCTCTCACAGGTGCTGATACCGGTACTGTACCCAAAGGCTTTTTCCTTCCCCATTTATTTTTCTGCCTGTTTTAGGACAAAATAAAAGTCTAAGATTTTTCCATCTACAGGTCATGGAAATAACATTGAAATAACACTGCTGTTAATTAACTGCCCCTCTTCCCCATGAATGACCCCACTGGCAAAAAATGTTTGCGAAAAGCAAAAACCAAACCAAGGCCTTTGGTTTAGCAACTTCCCTATCCATTATCAAAATATCAGGAAAACACAGTGATTCAGAAGGTGTGAATCCTACCGAGTTTCAGTCCCTGCTTGTGCTTCTCCCTTGTTACCTACCCTTCGACCGAGGATTTGGTTGATGGCTGCGCTCTCTTTCAATGTGCATTCTGCTACAACTTTTGCTCTCATTTCCTTCATATACAACATAAATGCATTAAGAGGTTTCTTTATGTGTGGCTTCTTTTTCTCTTCTTCTTTTTTGGAGTCCTGATGTTTTCTGAAGGGTAAAGATACAACAGACAGAAACCTCACAGTGAGAACCCTTGTGAATTTATTAAATTAATCCCCTCAATCTCTCTAGCATTAATCCTCAGAAATCTCTAGGAAAAGAACCAGAAGGTTCTCTAGTGCCTTCACCCTGGCTGCTGTATGAGAACAGTTTTAAGAGCGTTATAAGAAAACTCCATTGTGTGTTTATGCAGTATCACCAAGTACCCTCTCAGCCCCTAGAAGAACCTTGGAAGTACATGGGCACCCAGGAAAATGGGTTCATGGGGAGGGCTTCTGACCATGGTGGTAGACGAAATAATTACATCCTATCATCAGTGGGAACCAAAATGCTGTCTTTCTGCTTCACCCGTGAAATGAAAGGCAAGAAGCACCAGAAGCACTAGGGGCAGAGGCAGACCAAGGCTCTCCTTGATTCAAACCTAAACTTGATACCAGCTCTCTCTGCAGCTTTGAACAAGCCATTTATGCTCTAATTTATTGTCTCCTGTTGTGTATCCAGTATTTCACGGCTTCAAACTGGGCACTGAGTAACAGGGAAACTGGTCAAGAAGCTTGAACCTTGATCAAGAAAATTCCACTTCTTTGTTAAAATGAGTGAAATAAATAACTATTCATCTATGAATAGTCTACATGTGAACAACATGTCACAGAATGACTCTGAAAGACTGTTAACCACTATTTTGGCACACTTTGGTAGTTAAACCATGTTCAAAGCAATTAGAACAGAAAAGAAAAAGCAATTTTAAAAAGTATTTTACAGAAAAAACATTGCCACAAATCCAAGCCCTTTTAAAAGCCACACATGCACTGGTGATGCTTTGGACATTCTAAAAAGAAGACACGGGAAGCAACAACTTACGAGCTGTGGAGTGAGCCGACATCGCTCTGGGAAGATTCCTGTTTGACTGTTGGTGTGACTATGGCCGGATGAGGGATTCCAGTTGTATGTAAACTATGGTGTGGCGGGACCATGTGTGGAGGAAACCTAGAGGAGAGAAAGCTGTGTAAATCGTCAGAATAAAAATGAATGAATGGGGAGGGATGTGTACACACATTACAAAAAAAAAAAAAAAAGGCATATAACAAGCACATGACAGCTAGACAAAGCATATGAAAGCTGGCAGCATTAATTAGCAATAAATTAAACATAATGACTCTCCTAATGTCATTAAAGCCAATCTTCCCCTTCATTATCATTACTGACATGAGACATCATGATTTTTAACATCTTTAACAAAAGGCAAATTCAACTGGATGAACTTGGATGAAAGTGGAATTGCAGCTACCTGCAAAAAAATCCACCAGTCCATTTCTTTGCTAAGAAATCATGTGCGACAACCAAGGAATCAATTTTTATAGTTCTGAATCATGTTGTGAATTTGGGATAACATCTTTTATTCCATATTGACAGCAAAATAAAATATTAATGCCAAGACAATCTAGACGCGTTTTTGATAATCCTTATAGATGCCTCATTAGCTACATTGTGTTGATGGAGCAAAAGAAAATATTTATTTGTGTCTAATAAATCTCCGAGCCACATGGCTTTAACAGATAGTGGGAAGATTGTGGAATTCAGTCAATTTTGACCCATTAAGGTAACCTAGGAAGGCTTAAATTCATGCAAAATAACAGTCTAGCCTTTTGAAAGGGAAAAAATGTTGTCAGCTTTATGGTTTATGGTCATATACTTGGACAGGCCCCGGTCCTGCAACTGGATTCAGAGGGATGTGCAATTCTTCTGCATGAATCTAATTGCTCAGTCGGGGCCACAGCACGAACATGGCACAATCATGTAGCCTTTTGACCCAAAATGAACAAACTTCTCAAAAGCAGGATTGACTGCTTATCATTATTTCTCAACAGTCTCAGAAAGGTTTTGCAGTGAATAAGGAAAGCACACTATGACTGCCTGCCTTTCCCTTAGAAAATCCCCACTGAAGTCAACAGGTTTCCAGGGAAATGGGATCTAGCCTAAAATTTTGGCTAAGAAATAACTTCCCCCAAAATTCCAAAGCTAAAGTGATCTGGCAAATGACAAGGTTTTTTATCATTGCAAATCCCTACCCTCATCCCAGATTTTTGAACCATCTTGGTCCAAATAAAATACCCCAAGAATATGGAACATGCAATGGGATAAAGAATTATTTCTTCTATCATCAATATACAATGATTTTTTCTATCAAACAGGATGTAAAATGGGGTGATATACCATGGATAAGTAGACTGTATACAAGTATCAGAAATATAATGGGATTTTTTTTCCCCCTCTTATAAATTCCATTAGTGAGCTTAACCGCCCCCTCCCCCCCACCCCAAGCTGCCTAGACATTCCCTACATTCACAAGATGACACAGTAGTACTTTCATGAACAAGAGGTACTGTCCACTACGAGCTCTGAGGATCTTTGTCTATCAGCTGGTAGTACTCAGGATCATTAGACAGAAGTATTTTGTCTTTGAAGGCAGTGGTGGGAAGAGCAGGGACTGACAGGGAGAATGTGAAATTGTTCAAACTGTAGAGAATTGCAGCTCCTCTCAAACAAAGGCATGGAAAGAAGTAAAGGAGGAGGGTGTGATGGCAAGGGAAGAGGAGAAGGGGCAGCAAAACGGCCATTCCTAGTTCTGCTAAAGACTCATGGGCACAAATCTCCAAGTGGATTGTCAAAATGCCTTCCCCACTCTGACAAAAGTAGCTGGGAGAGAAACACGCGTCTGGGAAATGCTTTGGTGCACGGTAGGTCAGAACAGAAGACATCGGCAAGGCTGCAAGGAGACCAATGTCCTGGTCCCACTTCTGCCACAGAATTGCCTCACCATCAGCAAGACATAAACTTGTGGCCTCTGTACCATTTTTTTCTGTTCTCCCTCTCTTTACTTTTGTGTGCATGTATTTTGGTTGGACACGCTTAAAGTTTGTTCACACAGTGCCTGGGGCCTTCAGCCATAGTACAATGCAAACAATAAAAACTGACAGTAAGAGCTTTTTTTTAAAAACTAACTTACAAACATGGGTGAAAATAAAACCCATGGCAAAATCCTGACCTCACTGAAAGTGATATAAGCATAGTGATAAAAAGTTGACACACATTCTATCGAATGACTTGCTGTCCTAGGCAAGACCCAGTGTTCAAGAGAGGACTATGCTGCTGGGGCTAGCTAGGGTTCAAACTGGAATGAGAGCCAGTGACAACGGGACAATGAAGGATGAAGATGGAGCCGAAAACCCTACCTCCAGAGAACGGGCAGGAAGAGCTGCGCTTGTTGGACATGAGGACACAGTGGGAAGGGCAGTGGGCATACACCAGCAAGGAAGAAGAGCTGGGTGCAGTGGTAGCACAAGGACAGAAGGGCATGACAGTGGACCTGAATAAGGTTAGACTCATCACTGCAGAAGGGCTCCCAAATATCACAAAAGACTGATTACAGCTGGAATTAATGGGGACAAAAGATGGTGTCTGTTAAGCTTCTGAAGAGGATCCCTTGATGTGGCCATGATAAGTGGGTCATAGACTTGCTTCTCAAATGAGGATCTGGTCAAAAATTCAAACGCACTGCAAAATGAACTCTGCCTACATGGTGGACTGTTGCACGGTCAGGATGTTCAAAGGACACAAATTCAACAAAAGATAGGGCATTATTTATTTGTTTATTTTTGATGAAGATTTAAGTACGTCCAGCTAAAAAAAAAAAGGGAGGGTGAAGAAAATATGCAAAAAATGTAACTTCTCCCCCCTAATTATGAGGAAAATGTTTTCCCCATTATCATTTAGGAGAAAGAGAGCAAGTATTTGCACATTGGAGAGTGACCAGATGGAGAAGTGGTGCAGCGGAGGAGGAGAAGCCTACATACACACGTTGTGTGAAAGCCTGGCGGATGGCAAAACCTCCACTGACTTCAGCTGGGCTGAGGTTTTACCCACTGAGCTCTAAACTTCAGAGACACGGCAGCCTTCATCAACAGCCAGCTGCAGCTCAGTAGTTATTTTCGGGGTAGCAGTTTCCCCAAGGAAATTGTGTGTTCATTACCAATGACCGTTGGTTATTTCACGCTGAATCTCTCTCCCTCCAAGACACAAGGCTGCCTATTGGACTTACGCACTCCCTCCTATGTTTGGGGCTATAAAAACATGCTCCAGAACCCAAAGTTGCTCTCACAGTCCCATGGACTTCAGTGGGCTGGGTGAGCGTTCAGCCCAAAGTCTGAGTGCCTACTTATTTCCATGTAGACATCCACTCACATGGCAATACGAGTCAGGGAAGAGTGTTAACTTTTAAGTTCTGGCTACACTCCAACTTCAGTAATTACATTCAGCAAAAGTGAATTTCCCCTGAAATTTCAATTACAGAAGGTATTTTCCACTGCCACCACTTAACTGCTGTGCAGCGTTTGTCTGGTGTAATTCTGCTAAATTATTTCCTGATTTCCTCTCACAGCAGTTGTTTTTTCATAGTGGGTCCACTGTTTGCCCATCAGTCAGTTAACCCTGTCTCAATTTACATTAAGGGCATATTATAGAGGGGTAATGAAGGATCAAGAGATGTTATAAGCATGTTGCATGCATACAAAGTGAGTGGGGCGATGCTACAAGCGGACAAAAGGGTTGTAAATGGTTAAAACAACCTGAAGACACTACCTTAATAGTCTAAACCTTTTATGAAAATCACTATTAGTCACCCATTAACCTTTTATAAACTATTCATAAGCACACTCTAACTAATGAACTGTAATTACTAAGCTTAGGGAATATTCAGGGTTGGGAAGCGTTACGTGCTCCAAAGGTCTACACCATAATGCAGGCAAAGACAGGAACTACTTTTAAAGGAAGGCTCTGGAAAAACGTGGATGGAGGGGTGAGGTTGGGGTCTGCCCTGGCTTCGTCGTTTGGGCAGAGCCAACACAGCGACCCCAAGGCTTGTACCAGGGTCCTGCGGGACTGCTGCCCGGAGGCCAGCCGTGAAAAGCGTGTCTGCAGGCAAGCGTGGGCATCCCCGGGCACGCCAGCCCCATCTCCCAACTCTGCTGGCTACCCAGGGCAAGGGCTGTCCCGCGGCTGAGCCCAGGCGCTCCAGCTGATACGGCGGGCATGAGAAAACACGCGTCGAACCACGTATCAGAGCACGGTCTGCCCAGAGGGTGTTCCCATGTATGGGAAACCAGGAGAGGAGTTTCTGGGCTGAAACAAAGGATAAACATCTTAAATCTATTCATCAGTCTGCGTGTGTGCCTGAGCGTGCGTGCGCATGTGGGCTTATGTCAGAGACAAAAAGAAAGGCTGTGTGCGTATATGCACACCCCTCACCTTCGCCTAAGACATCCCCCCGTATTTTTTTCTCTAGACAAGTATTCCATGAATTGCAATAAACACCCTAAAAATTCTAAGCAGCTCATTATACACTACTGTCTCCTTTTATGGCTCCAAGCCAGAATATAATGATGAGTCTTAACTTGTTAAGGACAACTAATTTTTTGTTCCTGGCTGTCTCAGGGGCTTCTCTCTTACTCACTCTCACTTTACTTCACTGTTGACATGCTTCTGTTAACTGGATGTCATCTGCCTGCCTTGATTTTATGCACAAGCAGTGGGATGCATTTTTCTGTGCAACAATTCTGCTTTGAGTTGCATTAGATTTGTCATTATTCTCTCATTTTCCCCTTGCACTTGTAACATTTCATCTATTCCTGCCTTATTTTTTGAGCCACGGTGCACCCACATTATGGTTTATACATGATCTTGCTCCCTTTGAAGCCGGCAGATTTCAGAGCCAGCCCTCGTCAGGAGAAGTGCCTGCTACCAATTTAGCAGGCTGAGGGCCCCGAGCTCCAACAACTCAATCTAAAGGGGGTCACAGGGTGGCACAAGCGAGTGTCAGCAAGTGCTGTTTAATTGCCAATCTAGGCTTCTCCATGGTGTTTAAAGTATAATGACCCATCACTTAATTCTGAGAAGTCCTGGCCCTGCTGCTGAATGGAATGAATATCAAAGGATGTGCTAGAACAGGGCAAGGAGCCTACATTTCCTATAACTGCCATAAGTATAATAGACCTCTACTTCTGTCGTCCCATTACCACAATAATGTATTTAATTTGCTGTGTACTCTTTTTAACTAGATACCTTTCATAAAGCCTATCTTGGGAATATAGCCTCCCCCCTCCCACATCTCCCCCCTCCCTCAAATGACTAGCCTCTCTAATAACAATTAAACTAAATCAAGCTCTACTTTGCCTCACACCATGCCTGCAAGTCTTTTACAGATATGAAAAAAGATTAAATGGAGGGAGGGAACCATTGTTTAAATTTGCAGCTCTCTCCCCAACCCAGGATTTTTTTCTCCCCCATGCTGGGTCTATCAAATACTTTTTTTAAGTTGGTTTTGCAATTGTTTCTCTATTTGCTGGAACAACATGAGCAAATTTTAATTTTCTGCTTTTACTCTACTTACCTAAAGCACACAACACACTATTTCCCTACCCATTCACTCACCAGCTCTAGCTACAGGTTTCCATTTCTCAATGAGGTGTGTTTCCCCCACTCCCCTCCCCGCAACCTTTTCCTCCTTAAATCCTCTATACACCAACCTTCACATATTAAACTGCAGAGATGGAGAGGAAGGGACAGAGCAGGGAAGAGACGTGGAACCTTGCTATGTAATGCATGCTAATTTAATTATGTGCCATCATCAAAATGGATTAGCTGTTTCAGCCCATCAGGAAAGTCTAAACCTCCACCGATTTAATTAACCAGACTGAAAATCAGATGAACAGAAAATAAAACTATCATTAGGAGCAATTAGTGATTACTTAAACATAGTGCTGCCAACCAGTTTGTAAATAAAACTAGCAGCCCCTGGAAAATTAGATGGAATTAATTGGAGGTAGGGAGGGGGAGAAATATATACTTCTAAAGCCTTAGAGGGTCAGGCAGGCCCTTTTATGTTGACTATCAGTGTTTGGAGCTTTGGTGGGGGAAAACACAGCGCAATAACCTTCCTCCCAACTCTGCTTGAGGAGAGCCCTCCTCCCTCCTGAGACTCCCCTCTCGCACACAGCGCGCTGCTCTGGGTGACGGCCACCGAGAAAGCAAAAGGTATCACGACTTCTCCTCCTTGCTTTTTCAACATCACATTCTCCCAGCTTTTTCATTTAGTTTGGCTTTTAAAGACAACTTCCCGCTCCTCCACCTCTCCCTCAAAACCAAATTCTTAAAGCCCAACGACAGCACTAGGACACCCTCTTCTCCTCAAATGGGAAGGTACCCCTTGTCCTCTCCTCCTCCACCCTACTGAAAAACTAAGGGGGACTGTTTAACTGAAGTGCTTTCAGAAATATGCTTCCTAGATGAAATGCTCTCCTCTAGAGAGGGCAGCGGGAGGAGTTACATTTGCTCTCGATTCAGGACCTCAGCATTTGAACTCACCTTGACATGGAAGCATTGACAGTCAGAGCTGTTGGGTAAGGGTGGCGGAAACCCCCTGTCGTGATTGGGTACACTGGCTGACCTTGCCTGGCAAAAAAGAAGCGAAAGAGAGAATGAGAGAAAGAAAAAAGGGTTTAAAAAAAAAAAAAAACAACAAAAAACTTCTCTCTGCACAGTAAGCTTTATTCTCATTTGATCAGAACAAAAATCTTGGGGATTGTACAGCAAGGATCAAAGGAAAGAAACACAGAACAATTTGAATGCCATAAATCTGATAGGAATGGCTAATTAAATTTTATAACCTCTGCTTATGTCAATAGAGACCCTCTCCCCAAGCTGAAACTAGGTGTTTTGTTGTAATAATTAAAGGCGAAGTCTCGCTTGCTTTAATGGAGCCATCACACTAATTGAGGGCTACACATCCAAAGGAAAACAATAATGAATGTAAATTTATACCAAAATAAAGTACAGTGAATCAAAGGACTTCAGTTGCGCTTTGGGCCTCTTTCGGTATTTAGATCTCGGTGAGAAAACATTAAATTAACAGAGCTTAATTTGTAGCCTTTTGTCAGATTAACAAGTGTTGACAAGAGTTACCGGGGGAGAGTCCCCAAGAAGTATTGTGGGTAACCAATAGACAATCACACCTCATTACAATAATTAAAAAATACAGCAACATGCAAAACAGCATCCTCATGAAAGACACACAACTTTTTCTGATTGAGGTTTGTCTGTGCTGGCTAGTTCTTTTCATCTGTCCTTCAAATATATCATCTGATTGGGCAGGATGCTTTCTGGGGGGGTACTATGCTAGAGACATCCAGGCCAGTTGAGGATAGATGGGTTGGGAAGTTGAAGCATGAGCGCCAACAAGAAGGGAAATAAAAATCTTGGGTTACTTCTGCAAAGTTGGACATGCTACTCTCCTAGAGCAAAAGCAAATGCGATGGTATCACCCCTCAACAAAAACCACTTGGAGAAGCTGTAAGAGCTGTGGGTGGATAAGTATGTCATGGATGTTGACTTGTCATAAACCACTGGTGACGACAGAGTCTTCCAGTGGCAGAGGTGGCCATTAGCACCTGCCTGATGAAAGTGGCCACACATGGCAACATCCACATGGTTTGGCAGCCATGACAGGAGGTTCAAGGAGGACAAACCTGTGTCTGCCCACATAAAAATGTAAGAGAGACACATATGAGCAATGAGGCGCAGGTCAACGACAGTGAGGACTTTCTTCCCTGCACTCTCATGTCTTTAATGTTACTGACTTTTGGCGCTAGCCAAGTATATGTATTTTAAATGCTGAGGCTGTTACTGTGCAAACTTGAGCTAAGCAGTTGCAACAGAGGAGCATGAGGTGGCTGTACTGCAGCTAGGCCCTGCAAGCAAGAAAGAAGAAGAAAAGGAGCTGACATACATTCTACCAGCATTCAGGGTGTCCTACGTAAAAAGGAAATCGCCACAAATGAGGAGGAATTTAAGATTTCAGGGAGCAATGCTCTGGGTGTTTCTTCTGCTCATGCTGTGCTCTTCTGGAAAAAACAGCCTTCTGCAGAGCTGATGGATGTGCTTCACCTTCAGGGTGGGAGAGCCTCTACCCAACCAAGTTGCACGACCACCCCGCGAGGAAGGGCAGCCTGCAAAGTGGCCAGAGGCAGGCTGCTGTGGCCGACGTCTGAGCTCCAGCTCTCCTGCATCCCCACTTCTGTGCTTGAGAAAGGCCCCCAAAGCCTTGGACGCCAACCCCTCTCCTTGCCCGAGACCTGGGTGTGTGTGGGGACCCCCTGCTCTGCCCTGCTCTCCTTGGGGGTGTGAACTCCACTTCCTTACGAAGGGCAAACTTGTGAGGAGGTATTTTAGCACAGCTGGCCAAACAACCTCGAGCAGGAACAAACTATTTCTAGCTTTGGGCAATTCATTTCTAAAGAAATATGATCTCCCCCAAACCGATGAGGCCTGTTATGTGAGAAAAATAGGGTAATAGTCTTGATTTGTAATGCAGAGAACCTTTGTATCCAGCAATACAAACGTCTAAGTATTTAAATCAAATATACTGTACAAAAGGCCTAGGCACTGCTTAAATGCATTACAAACCCATTGCAGAGATGGCAACATAAGAAAAAAAAAGAAAATAAGGACTCAATTACTGGAGGGAACCTCATACCCAACAAAGCTCTGCAAGTGGGATACGAGAAGCTGAAAAGAAAACAAAACCCCAAACTAACTTTCCACGGCTTTTCTCTCAGCCAGTTTTAGAGTAAACTAATTCCTCTTTCTTGTTTGCAAGAAAATTCCATTCCTCAGATGCCAACTGCCCAGCCACGTCTCGACCAGGAATGCTGCTCACTGGCCGATGTAAAGGTCTACTGTTTCACAAGGAAAACGAAAAGGGTTTCAACGGGGAAGGCCAATGAAACTTAAAAATTGGACATTTAGAGTGAGGATGGCCCTGGTAAAAAAGAGTCCATGAGAACCACCCTGAGCCCACAGAAAACCGAATCTGAGAAAAACCCACGTGGTGCAGTGTAAGGGCATTAATGAGAAAAGGACACTTCTGCAGATCAGTTTAAAAATTCATGCTTCACGAGCCATCAGCTGGTTGAGATGACATGCAAAGCTGCGTCCAACTGCTCATGTTTGTTTAAGACCACATGACCTGGCATAAGTTTTAATTAATCTTCATGAGGTGGGTAAATTCGTAACCACTCAATGAAGTGGCAGTTGGCAAACAGACTTATCTCAATGCACACATACACATGCCCGCACACACACACATATACACGATTTTTAACATAAATTTTACACATCAAAAAAGAAAAAGGAAATTAAAAAAATGGAACTCCTTACTGTGGTACTAACCATCCTAGCGGATGGGGGATTTGTCCTACAGTGCCCGGTGATAACGGATAATAAGGAGATATATCTGGAGGATGTGGAGGCCTTGGAATTCCTATGGAAGAGGAACATAAAGCAGCATTAGTGTTGAGACATGGAAATAAATAAAATGTAAGGAAAAAGCACATAAGTTTCTAAATTGCTATCAATCCATTTCTATTACAATACTCATGGCTTCACTTTGGGTTTCTAAAGACTGTTTCATAGTCTTATTTTATAAAGTGAGCCTCTTGGCATCTAGCAGTCCAATCAGAGATAATTATTTTGTTATTTAGGATGAGAATTTAGGAGTTTCAGCTATAGTTTTGTTGTGACACTGTGCTAGGTGCCATCTTAAACACTAAATAGAAAGATGGTCCCTCTATCAACTTCATGGTTATTTTAGTCTCAAAGTCACCAAAGAGCACAGACCCAACCTATACGTTGACTGGGTATAGCATGGCATTATTCCAAAGTAACCTCCAAACCGAGTTACAAAGTCATTATAATTGCTAATGATGTCTGCTTTTGAGCAAACCTCGGAAACCTTTCCCAAAACCTAGGAGTGGAGGTGAGAGCCCCTGGAAATGCTTGGTAAAACTGGGGGCAGATGTTGAAGGTGTGCAGGGGAGGACAGAGAGCCCATCCATCCTCTCTGAAACCGGTGCAGTTCCTACTCGGAGAGCAGAAACCAGCTCCAGACACAAGCCTTAAATCTTAATGCTCCTTACCTTAAGAGCAAGTAAGAATTACTCAGAAGAGTAAGGGTTACAAGACTGGGTCTTTCAATTAACAAGCCAGAGCACAATTACACAGCAGAAGCAAAATTAAAACAGAGAGCATTAAAAGGAAGGGGTACTGTATTCATGGCTAAAAACTATTTTTTTAAGTCACTTGGGAAGCTTTTAATCTCTAAATTAAATCTTCTTGTGTGACATTTTCATGCAGACATTGCTTTTTCTTCATTACAAAACCCAAACAGATTAACTGGGCTTTAACCATCCGGCGAGCTATTTGCACACTTGAAAGAATGTTCACAGAAGAAAAGTAAACAGTCTACAGACGTTAATCATATGTTTTACGATAACCATTTAAAAGCTATTCCCTGTACTACCATTATTTAAATGAGAGGTTGACTATGCCATTCACTTGCAATACCCAGGGATGGCGAGATGGATTCCTTTTAAGCCATGTGAAGTTAGCATTAAGCACAATTAGAAGGGGGCCCCAGTTGAAGCGTAGGGAGTGAAAACCAGCTAATGCACAGCCTCATTCCAGGGCTGGAGTTTAGATAAATTATCTGCATACGTTAGGGCCAACACAGAACGTTTCCTTTGACAAGAATTCAGTTTCTGATGTACCTTCCAATTAACTAGCTGGGATTTGGATTAACAGAAACAAAACCACTGTCACTAGGAACTCAATGCAGCCTCAAGAAAGAAGATTGACACTGTTTGACTTCTCTGGGCCCTCAGGTTAAACAGGGACTCTTAAAAAGTTAGAATAACATGTAAATTCTACTCTGTAACACCAATAAATCTAGTCAGGGTTTTACGCGGTGCTCTATATTCAAGACGACTGCCCTTCAGGCTGAACTGAGAGTTGGGTAGACTTACATTGGGGAAAAGAGTTGCAAGTGTAGAGCTGGAGCTAAGTAGTTAGAGTGGATGAAAATTCAACATTATAGGAGAAAAATGGCTGAACTCCTGACACAGAAACAATGGGATTTGGGGAATTAAAAGAGATTCATTTTGAAACCGGTCATGACCCACCACCTTTAAAATTCCAGCTGCAATTTTGTAAGTGCAGATCACAGAACATACATGTTTAACTCTCTGGGTCGTGCATGCAAACCAAGCACTTGGTCGATCGAACTACTACGTGGGGTATCATGCTTGCAAAGAAACACACCTGCAAATGACCCCACACATGCAACTCTGGTGTCACCCTGCAGAAGCTTTATGGAAATTCACCCAGTAGGTTTCCTTCTGAAGTCTAATTGGCTTAAAAAGAAACTACTTTGTCAGGGTTCTTGCATGCATTTGACATTTTACATGTCCCCTTTGGTGCTCCAGCATGGGAAATCCTTCCTTCTGCACTCCTTCCCCCTAACACACAAAATGGAAAAGATCCACCCACCCACTCTCCAAAAAACCCAAACTATTTCCCACCTACCTGTTTTGGGATCTACGTCAGCTGGTAAGTGTGGAGGAGGGTTTCCCGGTGTGAAGTGCTCATTGCTGTACGTGATAAGCGGCGTAAGAGGGTGTACATGGTGTGGGTGCTGCACAACTGGCACTTTGTTAGACTGTCAAGAGAAAAAGGTCGACGGCGTTAGAGGAGTGCCGGGTACTCCCCACTGCAGCACGAGGCATGACTTACAGAAATCCGAGTACCCAGGATTTCAACATGGTCCTCAGACTTTTTCAGATCCCTTCTTGGCGTCACCCTTGCAGTTTTCCCACCCTCTTGTTTAAAACCTCCTCACACACTTTGCCTGCTCTTGAGTTTCTTTAATCTTTTTGACCTGTCATGCTCCTGTATGGAGCAACAGCAATTCTTCAAAATTTTTCCTTTCTATTTTATAATCTCGTGCTTCACCTCCAAGATGCAGGCAGACTCCTTAGTGAGGGGCTGACAGAGTCCCCCATTTAATTAGCACGAGACCCAAATGCTCACTGACCTGCAGGTCTTTTCCTTTCCCCTTCCTGTCCTCACTTTCAGTTCTGCATTTTACTGCTCATTGCAAATACTCCAGATAAAAAGCCTTTGTAGTGCTAGAGTATTCCCTTCATCAGCAAGCATTAAGCTGACAAGCAATCACCTGCATATTTTATATATATATATATTTTAGAAGAGGTGACTAATTATCAATTCATCAGAGAGCGCTAATAAATGGAAACTGGATACTGATGAATTAGGCTACTAAAATATTCAGCTATATAAATAATGGCAAAAACACAGATAAAGCCATTGAAATTAACACTCTTGTGGGGGGAATAATCACGCAGATATCATGAGGTTTTCCCTGACACATTCCCACATTCCTAGCTTGGAGGGGGGGCGGGGGTGGGCAATCTTTTTCTTAACAACAATAAAAAAAAAAAAAAAAGGAGTGAATGAATGAAAGGAAAAGGCAGGCTGAACTGTAACTTACCCTTACAAGATCACAAAGAAAAAATTAAGCTGAAACAAGCGAACTGCTGGACCATTTACTGCAAGTAATCCAATTGCAAAAAACCCTATTCCCCATAGAGGATTTTCACTAAAATCCTACAACAGGGACATTTAACCAGATTAGGTACCAGCAAAGATAAAGAGGCTGGTATTAGATGATGAATGGATTAGAGTCAGGTTTCATTTTAGAATGTGTCTTCATTTCCTTTTATTACTTTAAGTAAGGAACAACTTGCATTAACATCAAGTAAAAGGAATCACATTAAAATAAAGTAGTGATACCAGGGCGGCCCCCGATAGCGCCGCTGCCGTTCAGGGTCCGCCAGCGCTCTCCTGCTCGGAGGACGGCTCCGGCCCCACCGCTCGCTCCCCAGCACCCCAAACACAGGCGCCCTCGCCGCACCGCTTTAGACAAGTTATTATCTGATCTCGGTTCGAATGCTCCGAGCTTCCCTTAAAAGCATTTTAAAAAGAATTCAGTTATTCTTTGGGGAGGAGTTTCTAAACTGGGGGGGAGGAAGAGGGAAGAGAGACCGAGAGCTTGGAGGAAAAGACACGTCAGTCTTCCCCGAATAAACAAGAAGTCCCTCCATCGTGCTTCGGTCAAGCTAAGCTTCACCTTCGGCTCTTGCAGCCTCCCTCAGCCCGGGAAGCTCCCCGAGCCCCAGCCTCAGCCATATGCAGCTATTTGACTCACCCTTTTGATAACCTGCAGAAAAAAAGTGTGCACCCAAGAGAAGCAAGCCAAAGAGTAGCGCTTACGCTTCCCACAACTTTTACTGTGTTTATCTCTTTTTGCAGCCCTTACATGGAACGATTCCCCTCTAATACCACGCATGTGGCACAGGAGAGTCCCACGTCAAGCAGCCACCACGCAGGACAGAGCGTGGTCGCGACAGCCAACGTTATGAATTACAGCACGTTGTGTTGGCTGCGTTGTAGGTCAGATCTGCCAGTTGTGCAGCCAAGGACAACTTTTGGCCACACAGATCCACAGCGGTTTCACATCAGAGGAGCGATGGGGATTTAGCCCCTTAATTCAAAAAGCCGAAGGAGATGCTCTAACCCCACATCTGTTCTCTTCCAAGTGAACCAACCTAAGCAGTCTGAAAGTAACTGAAAGGTTTGTCAAGGACTTCACGTAACAAATCATCATGCAAACTAGCAGGCATCTACTCAACAACACATGGCATTATATGCCAAATGACCACTTGATCTGGTTCACAAAAGGCAATCATTCCAAATAAGAGGGATTTTTGCTGGCCAAGACCTGTGTGAATTCTTGCTGTTAGGTGACCCACAGTGTGGCTGTTAGCTGCTGTAGCTCTGTGCTCTCCCAACTCTATCTTCACATCATCAAAAAACCCTCACCCAGATCCTGACAGACACCGAGGGTTGTCTTTCATGGAAAGCTTATTTTCATAGAAACTGGAACCGGTTAGTTAAAAAAATAAGTAAGTGACAGAATAACATTAGAGGGTCAGACTTAAGCCAACAAACAAGAAACAACACGAGAGAGGAAAGCTGGACTTAACATGCCTGTATCACCAAAGCCAGATATACCATAGGGGGTTACATGTAAACTGTGGGAAACTACCACCCACTGCTTTGAAATACCAAGACCCCCCCTGCCAATATCTCCACAAAATGGCATGAGTGCTAAATTATTATGTATTTTACTTAACACCTTTCAGAGATAAATAAAAAGCAAAAGGAAAAAAAAATCAACAACAAAGCATTTGAACCTTAGTCTACAAACTCTTCCCCAGGTAAGTCATTTTCACTTGGGTGACTGCCAGGCACTCAGACAATTCATATAAAAGTACTGGATGTAAGGGTAGGATACTTTTTTGCCACTCTGACGATGCTGGGGCAGAGGTGTGGGAGGAATGTACTGGGGCAAAAGGGGGAACTGTCATCTACATGCTCAAAAATACGCTCTCTGGGACAGAGAGCATGATCCACTGCCCCTGCAAATCAGTCTGCATCTGTATCACTACCCCGGGCTGGGTTTGTCTCCTGTTTTGCACTGTTTATCACACACTGGGAGAAGGGACTGTAACTCTGCTCAGAATAGCATGCACAATTCGCAAGCCAAGCTAATCATACATAATATGCTAAATAAGCTGCTCTTTAAAAGCAGCATTCCCGAAGTTAACTAAGCTTCCTTGGAAAAGAGAAAAAGAAAGGACTAGCTAGGAAAGAGCAGGATTAATCCCACACATACATCTTCCTTTGAAGTCAATGGGAGCTCTGCCTGAGTAACAAATGTGGTCCTAACCCCATCCACTGGCAATGAAAGGTAAACCGCAGAAGCCATCAATAGGAGATACCTATTGGATGACCTTAGCCATCCCCCTGCAAAAGGTCCTTCTCCAATATACATTTGCCAGTACTTTATCAAGGGTAGTTTTAAGCTAAAAGCCATTGTGAGATGCAGGAATTTCTCTGGCAACTTGAAGAACTCCATTTATGGCTATGTCAGGCACGGAAAGGGGAGCTGCACTGGTACGCACAGATTAGCATCAGGGCATGTGGTAATAGGACGGGAACAAGTGGAGACTTCTAGAGAGAAATCCCAGCATCTACAAAGTACCAAGTCATCTGCTGATAAATCACTCCTCTCCACTGAAAGCTGGGCTCTCATACGCTGGGCTAGAGGGCACGGTAAAGAATTGCAAAAAAACAACAGAAGTTTGCTTTTCTTGATAACCCCTGCCCGAAGCAAACCAGAGGAAATTGTCCCCATAGAGACTCAACTACTAAATCTCTCTATATGAATTTGAAATGTTTCTGGAAGTGCTTAAACACAGATGACTTTAAACAATAATGGAGCTCTGGAATTAAAAAAAACAAACAACCAAACCCAAAACCCAACCCAGAACAAATTTCGGACTGATATATGTTGGGGCGGGATACTGAGATCCATTTAGCCTAAGTTCTGCTAGGTGCCTTCAGGGAACAACAACAAAAAATATCTGAACTTCAGATTTAAACTGCAGGGGATTGTGTGTATAAATTGCTGTGTATTAGTCTTTGTTGCGCGGTAAGGACATTTCATTAACAGGATGAAAGATGCTTCTATGCGTATACAGCCCAATTTAATACACCCCACTGATGAATACTCCCCATTTATTGAAGAAGTTAATACACGCTGTATAAATCAATAGTTCCTAAGTCTCTGAAAGCAATGTAAGACTTGCACGAGATGAAACATTGTATTGTTGAGCACACAAAGAGGAACCAACCTTTAAATAGGAAGAGTTTGTTACTGCAATTTCTGTTTGCAAATTCATAGCTTGTTTGGCTTTGGTAATAAAAACATGGTATCAACTCAAAGTCAGAGAAAAACATGCCAGAGAGGTCGGAGGATTTGTCCTCGCCGGGATAATGTGGTGTTAGTAAAAGCAGGTCTGCAAGAAAAAGCCACCCAGGCTGAAAACAAGCCACCATGCCATTGCATCAGCGAAGCAGCCAAACCCTTCGGCTTCAAGACGAGTGGCCTGCGGCAAACTGGGCTCTGCCACGTTCCCGGCCCAGTAGCCAAGGGCAGGGCAGGGAGGATGCTCCTGCCCCAGCACGGCCCGAAACTCTGGCTGCCCCCGGCACAGCTCCCGCAGCCGCGGCCAGGGAAGGGACCCCCTTCCCCGACCCGGGGCGACCTCTTAAGTGTACTTAAAGCCTCGAGTCCTGCTCGGGAGGCAGGGACGGGGTGCCGTCCGCCGGGCACCCCCCGACCGCCTGCAACTGGGAGTGTGGCAAGGGAGAGACTGATCAGGCACTTGCACCCCGGACCCCCAGAGCCCCCTCCCCTCCCTCCGCTACGAGTAATGGAGGAGGAATGAGAGGATGCCATTCACCTTAAAACCTATTAATCAATAGACGCTGAAAACAAATGGAGCTAGAGCTCCGCCTGTCTTCTTTGCCATGTCCTCCTCTTCCCCGTTTCCCCATTGCTTTCCCTTTCTACTGAAGAAAGATGGGCCCTGAAAGTGCCTTTATGAGCTTAATACAATAAAACAAAAGCAGCACAGAAGAGGGTTTGTCAGCCTTTTCCCCTCCTCCAGGGTGGATGCAGAAGGTCTTGAATTAGCAGGCCCTCCTGGAGTTGCTCCCTGGGCTTAGCAAAGG